GGGGACTGGAGGCCGGGGAGGGGATCGAGGGGCTGGAGGGAGGGCGCTGCAAGGAGCTAGGAACAGGGCAGGAGCGGGTCTGTGGGAACAGGGCTGGGAGGGCCAAAGAAAGAGCCGCAGGTCGGGGCGGGGGCTGCAGGCCCGGATAACTGATGGGGAGAAGCTGGGGGGCATTGGCTGGGGATCCAGGGAAATTGGGGAGCTGGAGGTCCCCCAGGTCAGGGATCGAGGGGACTAGGGTCGGTGCTGGGATGCTGGGGTTGGGTGTAGGCCGAGGCTAGGCAGAGCTGGGGGTCTATTTTCCCTTAGAAATTTTTGAGGAAATCGAGGAGACCCCAGCTCGAAACCACAGCAGATGCAGTCCCTGTGAGCCAGTCGTGGGGTGGGGGCCGTCTTGCTCCTCCGAAAATTCATGCCTGAGGGCTCAGGAGGCAAAAATCCAACAAAATGTAAGGGACCTGCCACGCTGGGCGTCCTGGTTCTTCAGAAAATTCATGCTCAAGGTCCTTTTCCTGCTTTGGTAACAAGATATTTCCACAGGGGTCCCATGGAAAATGTGAGAGGACCCTGGACCGTTGTCATAGAGACTCTACCTGTGAGGATCCTGGGAGCTCTTTCAGAAAGTCCGCCCTGGGACTTGGGGGCCTGACTTTGGGAACCATCCCTACTGCCTAAATACTAAGAGCAATGGAAGGGGCTCTGTGGCCACTGTCATCAGAGCAATCGCTATAGCCTTGAAGAGGGTGGGGAATTGGGGAGGGACACCGATATCCCTCAGAAATTCCCCTCTATGAATCCTGGACCTTAACTTGGCATTGGGAATCACAAACTCTCCCCAGAATGGAAGGGGACTTTTCTTAGGGGCTATCGGTGCTTTTTAAGCTGGGTTTAGGGTAGGCAAGCCACCATCTTGAAGAAACCTAATTTGTCCCATGGATCTTATTTGTAGGGGTCAGATTCAGTTCTTTTCCCTGCTGACTTCATAGGAAACACAAAAGACATGGTTACCTGTTGCAGTGTCAGCTAACCACATGCTAATGGCATCAGTGGGGTCAGGAGACTAGACAACCCGAGTGGGGACCTCCTGGTTTATCAGAAGGTCAGTGCCTAGTCCCCAGGACATGACTGAATTCTAGACCAAATTTACAAACAGGTGTGCATTCTGCAGAGTCCAGTGAAAAGAACCTTGGCCTGGTGCGGTGGCACCTTCCTATAATCCCAGTACTTTGGAAAGCCAGGGTGGGAGGATTACTTGAGCCCAGAAGTCCGAGAACAGCCTGGGCAACATAGTGAGACCACTTCTCTACAAATAAGAACATTAGCCAGCATGGTGGTATGCACCTGTAGTCCCATCTTTTGGGGAGACTGAGGTGGAAGGATAGCCTGAACCCAGGAGGGTCAACACTGCAGTGAGCCATGATCGGTCCACTGCACTCCTGCCTGGGTAATGACTCAAAAAAAGAAACATAACAAAACAGCTTAAGAGATTCCTTGTATCTATTACTACAGTGGCCTTGTATAGTGATGGAGGGGTTGGGAACCAGAGGTTGGGACTTTGGGACCAGATTCCTATTTAATCCTCTGACAACAAGTGAAGCAGATACTCTTATGATTTCCATGTTACAAATGAGGAAACTAAGTCTCAAGGGGATTATGTGACTCGCCCAAAGACAGCACTGTCCAGACTCACAGCCATGTTCTTAATCTTGATGCTCTAATGGTGACAGCGTTGTCAGTTCGTCTGAAATTGGAAGATGCTGCAATTTCAGGGCTGGGGAAGCCTGCAGTTCAGGTTGAGGCCCCTGATCCTGCCCAGATTGCTGGGTTTTTTTTTTTTTTTGCTTTTCAGACTTCTGGTCCAGTTTTACTCACCTCACGTTACAATGAAGGGGAAAGGTGGAAGGGGGCATATCGGATGTTTGTGTAGGTCCTACTTGGAAACTGCATTAATCATATGATCTTTTGTGCTGGGCCACCTTAGGGAGCCAGTGTAGTAACAGATTAAGAGGTCTAACTTGGGAATCAGACATCTAAGTTGGACTTGGTCTGTTATTAACCTCACTAAGTTCTTTTCCTGCTTTGTAACTGTACCTACCTTAGCAAATTGTTAGGAGGGGCACATGAAATTCCACATGGAAAGGGCTTAGCACCTTAATGCTGGGTAGGTAGAACACAGTGGTACTAGTATTTTGCTGGGTTTTCGTATGAGTCTTGTAAGACTCCTCTTCACCTGACTGGTACAGCTTTTATTTTTCCTTCCTCTGACAGAGCTGGGGAAGTTTTTTTGTTGTTGTTTGTTTGTTTTTCCTGAAACAGAGTCTCACTCTGTTGTCCAGGCTGGAGTGCAGTGGCGTGATCATAGCTTACTGTAGCCTCAAATTCCTGCGCTCAAGTGATCCTCTCACCTCAGCCTTCCGGGTAGCTGGGACTACCAGGTACACACCACCACCACGCCTGGCTCATTTCTTTTTTTTGTAGAGTCAGTCTTGCTATGTTTCCCAGGCTAGTTTCAAAGTCCTGGTCTTAGGTGAATCCTCCCACCTCAGTCTCCCAAAGTGCTAGGATTATAGGTGTGGGCCACCTCACCCAGCTTGGGGGAGAATTTTTAAAGCACTGTCATTTTTATACCCTTCCAAAAATAGAAGAGATTTATCCTTGCTCCCTGAATTTTTTTTCAGGGATATTGAAGATCAGAGCTTTCAAAATGTTTTTAGGAAGCCTGAATTGCTCCACTTTCAAACTTTTATTAGAATAATACTGATGGGAAGTCTGTAGTTACCAGAACATCCACGGGGCCACAAGATGTTTTTAAAAGAAAAAAATAAATTTTTTTGAGTCAGAATCTCACTCTGTCACCCAGGCTAGAGTACAGTGACATGCTCACAGCTACTGCAGACTCGACTTGCTGGGCTCAGGCGATCCTTCTGTCTCAGCCTTCCAAGTAGCTGGAACTACAGGTGCGTGCCACCACACCCAGCTAATTTTTTGATTTGTTGTAAAGATAGGTCTCATCATGTTACCCAGGCTGGTCTTGAACCCATGGACTCAGGTAGTCCTCTTGCCTCCACCTCCAAAAGTGCTGGGATTACAGGCATGAGCCACCGTGCCTGGCAGAAAAAAATATATTCTTAAAATTTTAAACATTTCACAAAAAGTTCAAAAGATAGTTACCAATAGTTTCATTATCCTAACACGATTGTTTTGTGAGTTCTTACAGTGTTTGGAAAAAAATCATTTTTCTTTTCTTTTCTTTTGAGTTGGACTCTTATTCTGTCACCCAGACTGGAGTGCAGTGGTACAATCACGGCTTACTGTGGCCTCGACCTCCTGGGCTCAAGCAATCCTACTGCTGCAGCCTCCTGAGTAGCTAAGGCTACCACCATGCCTGACTGATATTTTTATTTTTTATTTTTTGGTAGACATGAGGTCTCGCTATGTTGCCCAGGCTGGTCTCGAACTCCTTGGCTCAAGCAGTGCTTCCACCTTGGCCTCCCAAAGTGCTAGGATTACAGCATGAACCACCACGCCTGGGCTTTCTATAACTTTTATACTCTGCTATTCTCACCTCATATTTGTCATTCCTTTAAAATTTATCCAGTTTCGAATGCCTGTTGAGTTCTTTTCACTGTTGGATCAGAAGGGACATGGGGAATGAGTGATAGTGGTGGTTACTTTGCATATTGGAATGGGAAACTTGAACATAAACTGTTACACAGTATCTTCCTTATGAATCTTAAATTTTTTTTTGGTGTCTGTTTTTGCAAATAGGTATGAGCATTCTCCAGGGAAAGGATGACATATTTTTGGATCTGAAACAGAAATTCTGGAATACATATAGGGTAAGACAGGCTCTTGAAAATGCAATTGATATCTTTTTGTGTATGTGTGTGTGTTTGTGTGTGTGTGTGTTTGTGTGTGTATCATTTTTTAGAGGCTTAAAAAGTTTTTAATTGACCGGACATAGTAGCTCATACCTGTAATCTCATCTCTTTGGAAGGCCAAGGCGAGAGGCTTTCCTGAGCCCAGGGGTTTGAGACCAGCCTGGGCAACTTGGTGAGACTTCATCTCTACCATAAATCAAGAGAAATTAGCCAGGCTTGGCGGCACACACCTGTAGTTCCAGTTACTTGGAAGACTGAGGCAGAAGGATTGCCTGAGCCCAGTTGCTTGAGGCTGCAGTGGCTAGGAGTGTGCCACCACATTCCAGCCTGGGTAACAGTAAGACTCCAACTCAAAAAAAATACATTTTTAATTGATACATATTAGATGTACACATTTTGGGGGTACATGTGATAATTTGATATTCATTTGATTAAATCAGGATTCTTTTTGTGTATTTTAAACATTAAGCATATTTTAATAAAACCATTTTTAAACTAGGGCTCTACTTTTGTTGGCATAGTGCAATATTTTGACAAAGAAATCTTACATTTGTTTTGATAGATGGATGACGAGAGCCTTTAAGAATGTGTACTTCAGCCGGGCTCGGTGGCTCAGCCTGTAATCCCGCGCCTTTGGGAGGCTGAGGTGAGTGAATTGCCTGAGCCCGCGGGTTCGAGACCCGCCTGGGCAGTGAGACCTCATCTCTACAATAAATCAAAAAATCAGCTGGGTGTGGTGGCACATGCCTGTAATTCCGGCTACTAGGAAGGCTGAGGCGGAAGGATCGCTGGAGCCCAGCAGGCCGAGGCTGCGGTGGCCGGGAGCGGCCACTGCACTCCAGTCTGGACGACAGAGTGAGACTCCAACTCAAAAAAAAAAAAAAAAAAAAAAAAAGAATGTGTACTTCACATGAATCAGAAAGAAAATAACATCTCTGAATTTTAGTCAGTGTTCACAGTGATTTCTAACCGTATTATATTTACTTGTAGTGATCACAATCCGCTTTGTACATTTTGGAGCTGTTTACAAAGTAGGAATTGTAGAATGTGAGTGACTTCATGGTTTCCTTCCCACGTCCGATCAGAGTTGGGATTTCCAGGTATGTGTTTACCTGAGTCCTGTAAAAAAAAACCTTAACATCACAATGGTGTTTACAGCAAAGGATAATGTTTCCCAGGGTTGTTCCTAGGCTCAAAGCAAGTCAGCTTGTACTGTTAGCTCAGCATAAGTCTATGCAATCCAGTTCCACAAATATTTACTCATTTATTCAGTGAAGATTTATTGAAAATTGTCCTGAAGACTTGTCAATATCAAAGATGCTTAGGTTCTGTTCATCACAATGAGATGAATCTTTAGGATTCCAGAATGTACACAGACTGGCCTAGGGCATCCCATGTACTTAATTCCCTATCAACAGCAGGGCCAAGCCACACCCAACTACTACCTGTACTGCTTCTAGCATTTTCTGTTGGATGGTACCAAGCCCTGGAACAAGAATCACCCACATGATTTCTAGCGGCAGAGGCTAGGGAGGTTTGATGTCGGCTTCCCCTGAGGTCCTGCACTGAGGGACAGTAACTATGAAGAAAGGGCATTCAGAACTTTTGTTACTTCTCCTTCAGAACTTTTGTTACTTCTCTGGGGGCTGAGATTGTGGGCCCATGGTGACAGCCAAATGTGATTTTGTTTCGTTTTATTTTGGAAAAAGAAGCAAGTTTTCCCATTATGTCATCTAGCCTATGGAAATATATACATGTAACATTTGAAAAAAAAGCTATAAGCAGAATTGGGAAAGAAAGGGGCTTTCTTCAGGGATTTATAGATATTTCAGAGTCTTCTCCCTTGATGGAGGCTGCCTCTCTGGGCAGAAACACAGAGACCTTTGCATACCTTTTTTTAAAAAACCAGTGGTTGCAGCAATTAGTCTCCTTTACACCCATGACAAGAAAGGGGGTACCAGCAATCTGGGGCCTAGCCCGTTTGGAGACTTTTCTGTAAATCTCTCATAATAAGAAACTGTCTTTCAGGCACGATAAGAGGTGTTAGGGGAAGATAAGAAAAAAGAAACATATAAAACACAGATTCTAGCCAGGCACAGGGGCTCATGTCTGTAATCCTAGTACTTTGGCAGGTTGAAGTGGGAGGATTGCTTGAGTCCGAAAGGTTGAGGCTGCAGTGGGTTGTGATCAAGCTACTGCATTCTAGCCTGGGTAACAGAGTAAGACACTGACTCAAAAACAACACCACCACCACCACCAAAAAACACCAACAAAACAGATTCTATTTATTATTATTATTATTATTTTTTGAGTTGGAGTTTCATGCCCACCCCAATGTCGACCTACTGGGCTCCAGCGACCCTTCCGCCTCAGCCTTCCAAGTAGTGGGAGCTACAGGTGCGCGTTACGACGCCTGACTAATTTCTTGATTTATTGTAGAAATGAGGTCTCACCAAGTTGCCTGGGCTGGTCTCAAACCCACGGGCTCAGGCAATCCTCTCGCCTCAGCCCCCACAAAGTGCTGGAATTACAGGCTTGAGCCTGTAATCTGCGCCCGGCCTCTAGATTCTTTCCTAAAGGGACTTAGAGTCTAGTAGGCTAGATCCAACTAGAAAACTAGAATCCCATAAGAAACACTCTAGGGTCCCAGAGTCCATGGGCTCTTAGCACAAGGAGGAGGTGTGGGGGTGGGAATCAAGGAAGGCTTCCTGGAGCAGGCTCTGCCTGAGCTGAGTCTTTTTTTATTTTTGAGTTGGAGTCTTACTCTGTTGCCCGGGCTGGAGTGCAGTGGCATGCTCACGGCCACCCCAGCGTCTGACCTGCTGGGCTCAGGCAATCCTTCCGCCTCAGCCTTCCAAGTAGCTGGAACTACAGGCATGCTCCACCACACCTAGCTAATTTTCTGATTTATTGTAGAGATAAGGTCCCACCAAGTTGCCCAGGCTGGTCTTGAACCTCTGCGCTCAGGCAGTCCTCTCGCCTCAGCCTCCCAAAGCACTGAGATTATAGGCACGAGCTACTGCACCCAGTTCCTTGTTCTAATCTTTGGGTAATTTAGCCCTCAAGAAATGAAATTTCTCTCTGGGCTTCTCCTGTCCTCCTTTCAGCTACCCAAGGCAGGACTCTAACCTGATTATGGGTCAAAAGACCCTCATTCCATAGAGGGTTCTGCCACATACCCTAGAGGAAGCAATGCTGCACAGAGAGGGCAACAGAAGTCTGAGCAGGCAGGCCTTGCTGGTTTTAGGTCATGTGTTTTTTTTGTCCAATCACATCTCTACACGGCTGTCAATCATGCCTATGTCATGAGGCCCCCATAAACACCCAAGAGGGCAGCATTTGGAGAGCTTCCAGGTTGCTGAGCATGTGGTAGCTCCTGAAGAGCATTGCCCAGGGAGGCCGTGGAAGATTTATGCCCTTTTCCCATACCTCACCCTATGCATCTCTTCATCTGTATCCTTTGTAATGTCCTTTTTAATAAACCAGTAAACTTAAGTAAGTTTCCCTGAATTCTGTGAGCCTCTCCAGCAAATTAATTGAACCCCAGGAGGGGTCATGGGAACCCCAACTTGAAGCTGGTCTGTCAGAAGTTCCAATGGCCTGGGCTTTTGATTGGCCTCCACTTTCTGAAGGTGGAGAGTCTTAGGAACCAAGCCCCCACCCTATGGGATCTGACACCGTCTCTGGGTAGATAGTGTCAGAATTGAATTGGAGGACAGCTGGGGTCCCTGTTTGGTGTGTGGGGAAAACCCTCACCCCTTTGATCACAGAAGTCTTCTGTGTTTGATGATTGCTGTGGTTTGAGAGTTTTCCCTAAACGGGAACCAATCGGAGAAAAAAAATAAGGTGAGTTCAGTTTGGGAATTGTGAAATTCCAATGCCTTTTGGATTTCCAGATACACAGAGAAGAGTTCATTCTTGTGTTTCATTATTTTTAGTGCTCAAGTGTCCTAGATTTGGCCAGTGGGAGTTCCTTCAAGCTAGTGACATCCCCCATCTTTTTCCCTTTAAAAATTTTTTTTAAATCACCTCCTTACTGCCTGGCATAGCAAGATGTTCCAGACTTAGCTTGTACGTTGTACCTTATACCTGCCCTGCCCCAGCCCTGGGATTAGCCAGTTCTTGTAGGAGTCCTGATCTCTTTTTGTGGGGACTGGGTATAAGAGACCAAGAGCTGGTAATACTGTGTTCTGACAAGAAAAAAAATGGCCCTAGGAAGTAAAGCCATTTTTGGCTGTGTTTAGTCTTCTGATTAGTTTTGCTAAAGTATTACATTATTTTTTTTAAATTCAGTGTCTCACACTATTGCCTAGGCTGGAGTGCAGTGGCATGATCATGACTCACCGCAGTCTTCAACTTGAGGACTCGAGTGATCCTCCTGCCTTAGCCTCCTGAGTAGCTGGGACTATAAATAGGTGCATGCCATCACACCCAGCTATTTTTTTTTTTTTGTAGAGACAAGGTCTTGCTGTGTTGCCCAGGCTGGTCTTGAACTCCTGGCCTCAAGTGATCCACCCATTTTGGTTATCCAAAGTGCTGGGATTACAGGCATGTGCCACTACGCCCAGCCAAATTCTTAAATGAATATATACTTTAAATATAAAATACATATCTAGTACATATTTTAAAATATGAAAATACATATTATAAAGCTTGTATTACACCTGTTTATTTTAGAAACTTTAGAAAATACAAATTAGTAAAAAGAAAAAATGACCAGGTGCAGTAACTCACTCCTATAATCCCAGTACTTTGGGAGGGAGAGGTGAGACAATTGACCAGCCTGGGGTTCAAGACCAGCCTGGGCAACTTGGCGAGACCTTGTCTCTACAATAAAAAACTAGCTGGGTGTGGTGGCACACGCCTGCAGTTCCTGCTACTTGGAAGGCTGAGGTGGAAGAATCACCTGAGCCCAGCAGGTCAAGGCTGCAGTGGCTGTGTTCATGCCACTGCACTCCAGCTGGGTGACACAGTGAGAATCCTACTCAAAAAAAAAAAAAAAAAGCTGGAGTCCTTAAAGGTATAGTATACAGATATTTTGTTCTTTTTTTTTTGAGTTGGAATTCTCTGTCGCCCAGGCTGGAGGGCGGTGGTACATTCATGGCCACTACAGCCTCAACCTACTGGACTCAGGCGATCCTTCCGCTTCAGCCTTCCAAGTAGCTGGAACTATAGGCACACACCACCACGCGTGGCTAATTTTTTAATTTATTGTAGAGATGCGGTCTCACCTAATTGCCCAGACTGGTCTCGAACCCCTGGGCTCTGGCAGTCCTCTCCTCCACCTCCCAAAATGCTGTGATACAGGCATGAGCCACTGCATCCAGCTGTGTTGTTGTTTCTAAAGTGGTTTTTTCCAGAATTGGTACTGATTCTGGTAGTCTTTTCATTCTGGACCTATACGTGTAAATAAAACGAATACAAGTGTCTTGTACTGCACAGTTTTTCCCCCCAACTCCCCACCCCCTCTACTCCAGAGGCCTTAAGTAGTCTAACTCAATCAGCTTTGTCAGAAATATAATGCCACCTCAGCATCCTGTCTGCTTGGTAGTTCTTGATCTTTTAAAGAAAGTACTGTGCGATTGTTTTGTGTGGTTAAAAGGCATTCTAATAAAGTTTTACTTTATTCCAGAGTGGACTGATGTACTGGCCTTTTGTCCAGGTGAGTTTCAAACTACTCAGACTATTAACTCATGGCTTTGGTTTACAAATAGCCCTAACAGAGGCTGTCTCTCTGTTCCAGCTGACCAACTTCAGCCTGGTTCCTGTTCACTGGAGGACAGCTTACACTGGACTCTGTGGTTTTCTCTGGGCCACCTTTCTTTGCTTTTCCCAGCAGAGTGGTGACGGCACTTTGAAGTCAGTGTTTACCTTCCTTCGTACAGAAAAGGCCAGTGCAGGTGAGAGGTCCCCAGAGAAATGAGAAATCAAGGACTCCTAAAGGGGCTAAATTTTTGTCATAAAATGCACTGGATTGCCTGCAGAGAACATACTTGACTCACCAGTGATGTGCTTCATTTTGAAGAATTACTTTAAATTCTAAAATTATAGGCTTATTTTAAAAAATTATCAATGATTATTTTGAATTGTATGCAAATCATTTTTTACCCCATTCTAGTCTGAAAGCCTTAACTTCTCTAATATTTTGTTTAATATCAATAGATGTGGCAAAATGGCATTTTAGATTACTATTACTATTCCAATATTTTAATGCCAGTTTCAGGAACCCTGGTTTCGATTGTTTACATCTCTAGTCTAATGTCTCAGGTTATCTCCTAAACATTTTCTTTTGGGTCAGGTTACTTTTTATATTAAAAATAGTCCTATAGCAAATTTCTCTTTACATAGAATTCAATTAAGGAGAAGATTGAATAACCAGATCTTCCCCCAATATTGCATAATACTTTATTGTTATGATGATACTAAAATTCTGTTAGTACCTCTTTTATCATTAAAAAAGAATAGTGTGTGGTCAATATGTTCTGCGTAGAATGTATTTTTTTATTTTTATTTTTTGAGTTGGAGTCTCACTCTGTCGCCCAGACTGGAGTGCAGTGGCCG